TGAGGTTATCTATGGTTTGCTCATTAGAATATATGGAAGACTTAGTCTTTATGAGGATGCTGAGAGAGCATTTGAAGAAGTTAAGCAGCTAGGCCTGCTTAGTGATGAGAAAACATATTTATCTATGGCACAAGTTTATTTGAACTCAAGAAATGTTGATAAAGCACTAGAGATTATTGAACTAATGAAGTTTAGAAACATTAGGTTCTCAAGATTTGGTTATATTGTTTCATTACAGTGTTACGTGATGAAAAGAGATACGGGGTCTGCTGAGTATGCATTTCAGGTTTTATCAAAGACTGGGCTTCCTGATACTGTTTCTTGTAGTGACATGCTCAATTTATATCTTGAACTGGGCTTAATAGAAAAGGCAAAGGAGTTTATTACTCAGGTAAAGAAGGATGGGATAGAATTTGATGATGAGCTTTACAAAACAGTTATTAGAGTATACTGCAAGGAGGGAATGCTAAGGGATGCTGAGCAGTTGATAGAAGAGATGGGCAGAAACCAATCATTTAAAAATGAAAAATTCAATCAAACACTCATGAAGTGTATGCATGGACAATATATTGGACAAAAGAAATTCGAAGGTCCCGCTAAGACCCTTGACCAACCCGATACTGAGGCCCTTGGCTTGATGCTCAATCTTTGTTTGGCATACTGCAATTTGGATAAGGCAGAAGAAATATTGAAACTTTTGCTCAAGACTGCTAGTGGTTTCTCGGCGGTTAGTCAACTCATTAGCAGCTTCGATAGGGAAGGTATGGAATCATCTTCTTTATGTATTTCCATTTAGATGTTATTTAGATGAAGGAAATTTAGAAGCTACTCGGTTCCTTGAGGCTGATTTTGATTTCTGTGTAGGTGATATATCTAAAGCTAAAACTCTTAGAAGTATGATTATGAAGATGGCATCCATATTAGAGGATGAAACAATTGCTTCATTGATTGGTTTCTACGGGAAGCAACAGAAGCTAAAACATGCCAAAGATCTCTTTATGGCAGTGAGAGGTTCTTCATCTGGCAAGATTATATGTAATGCAATGATTGATGCATATGCAAAATGTGGTAAACCTGAGGAGGCATACAAGCTTTATAAAGAATCAACTGAGAAAGGCCATGTTCTCGGTGCTGTTTCCATCAGCATCGTCGTGAATTCTTTGACTAACAGTGGTACGAGTTTCTTCTGTTCCTTTCTGAATTTATTAGTTATCCCAGAACAATATTAATGTTCCGTAATCGTCCATTCTCAAGAAAATATTCGATGAACTTTTATTTAAGAATCATTGCCGCTTCCTAGTATCTAGATATTTATCTTAACCTATTTTTCTTGTAACAAGAGATGATGTCAAGCATGTTAGAAGAAACTTTTTTTTTCTTTCAATATTTAGTTAATCAGAAGTCAATACATTTACAAGACGTTTGTTTACTGTATAAGGCAAAAGTATACAAAAAATATAGTAGTTATTACGAAATAGAGACTTATTGCACAGTTTGGTAGGTTGAATCAAACTTATTTTGAAATTTTGATCACTGGAGAAGTTGTAACACTGATTCATGACGGGAAAGTGAAAGCTCCCGCTGAGGTTGGAGCTTTTGTACAGACTACTGATTTGAATAGGAGTAACACCAATTCTGTTCTCCAAATTCAGAGACCGTGTAAAGCTCTTTCTTCAAACATTTTCTTAACATCTTTTCACTACTTCAGTGATCCATTCTTAACTTTTTCTCCATTTTTTGTGTAACCCCAAAAATTTTTGGGATGTTACATTTTGACCTGCAAATTTGTGGAATTGATTGTTTTCTTTATTTGTGGTTGAGTCATGTCCCCCAAATCTTTAGAGATTTTATATCTTTTACTTTATGGGTATAGAGGACCAAGAAGCCTAAGGTATCATGGAGAGGGGCAATTTTCACTGGTTTGTGGGTCATTTGGTTGGAAGGGAATGTAAGCATTTCAAGTTGTTTTCAATTGCTTCACATGGGTAAAGGATATAAAGGTAAATAACATTCTTTGTAATTAATAGTAATTTATTGTCTTTTTTTCCATCCTAGAAAACCTGTATATATGGATCGGAAATATTCAATAGAATACATATGAACCATTCTTAACAAAGTAAAATCAGAATTCGTAATTAGTTTCCTTCGAAAATTTTGTCTAATTTTCTTTTATCTATATCTAGCTGTTATAAACCAAGAATTATGAATAAATTTCAGAACAAAAGATTCAATTCTAAATCTTCAGGAACATTTGTTTATCCATTCTACAAAGGAACATTTCTTTATCTATATCATGTATTGATCTGTGTTTCTTTTGGTTCTCTGTTACTCTTTTCCAAGATGTCTTAGAGGGCATCCTCTGCTCATCTTTGTAATTTTTTGCTTTATTAATCTTTAACAATGCTTCTTCTTTTATCCAAAAAGAAAGATTATCCTTTTATGTCATTTTATCAATATATATATATTTTTGGTTGTAGGTTACAATTTGGAACAGAAGAACTTTGCTTGTGAAATTCATTTGGAAATTCACACTTATATTAATCAGGAGAGTTGGAAACTCTTTCGAAATAAATTCCACGAACAAAGTTCATTTTTCCAAATATAGTATGTTAATCATGGACCCTAATGTACTTTACTGAAGGCCCTGGACGAGATTGGCTGATAATTTTTAGTGTTATGTGCATCTCTCCCCCTTCTCTTGAGTGATTCATCTCCTATTTTCTTCGTGGTTTTGATAAAGATCAAGGAGGAAAAGGGCACATTGAAGGGGAGTTATTTTTGTTGGTTTATGAGTGCTTTGCTTGGAGAGAAATGGCAGACTCTTTAGAGACAAGGATTTTAGCCCAATCTCTTCTTGACATAGAATGGCTTTTCTAGCCTCATCGTGGGCTCAATACACAAATGGTATTCTATTCTTGGAGCTGTTGCTTAAGTATAAATATATTCCCTCAATGATCGAGTTCTTTAACCACCTGTGGTTGTGGTTACATTTTCAATCTTGTGATAGTAGATAAATTTTTCTTTTCTTTTTTCTATCTTTCCAAATATGTTGTTACTGTGTTAGATCAATATACATCAGCGACAGTTCATCTATAAACTGGTGTTTAGTGCTTAGTTCAGTGTGCAGTATTAATCATTATAGGGTCATTGGTGATATATAACCATCATCTATCTGCAGGAAAACATCAAGAAGCTGAGGATATTATCATAGAGAGTTTCAAGAGGAGCTTTGAGCTTGATACCGTGGCATATAATACCTTTATCAAGGCAATGCTAGAAGCAGGTTGAGTGGATCATTTCCAATTTTTTTGGCTACACTTAGGTGCCGGAGGATGTTAACAAGCTGTAGTCTTGATTTTGCAGGCAAATTGCATTCGGCAGGCAGCATTTATGAGCGAATGCTTTCTTCCGGAGTTTCTTCATCAATTCAAACAATTAACTTAATGATCAGGTGCAAATTTGAAGAATAGTAAACACTACCCTCCAAATAGACTAAATTGGAGGGACATTAAATGTGTAAATGTGTGTATTAGTTACATATATATATATGTATCAATTCTTTTCTGATGTATTTGGTCTTTCTTGTCAATGAATGCAGTGTTTATGGACGAGGGCGAAATCTGGAGAAGGCTGTGGAGATGTTAAACACTGCTTGCAGTTTAGGCTTGTCTCTGGATGAGAAGGCATACATGAATATGATAACCTTCTACGGGAAGGCTGGTAAGTTTATTTCTTTAGTCAAGAAAAGTGGATTTTTGATAGTTAAAGATATTATGTCTGCCAAGTTTCTAGATGAGTGTATATTTCAAACTCCAAAGCGATTAGGCTGTTCTCCAAAACTTTCTCCACATCACATCTTTCTAGTGATCAAAAGTAATATGGGTGCTTGAATTAATTCCAGCCACAGTTAATGGTATCATGAAAAAAATTATCAAATCGTCAAGTCATCTTACACCGAACCAACATTAATTGTTTCTCGTACTGATTGATCCTTGAAAGAAGAGTTGAAATGCTCTGATTTGTTATTAAGCTGACTGCTGATGTACTCAATAATTATTGTCATGATGAACATATGAAACATCTAGTTCAATTTTCAGCAGTAGATGGTTGAAAATATTTATAACATAGATTTTTTTGTTGCATGAGATATGTCATTTTGTCATCCTTGAATCGGTTTGCAGGTAAGAGGCACGAAGCATCCCTTTTATTCTCTCAAATGCAGGAAGAAGGAATAAAACCTGGGGTGGTATGTCATTTATAATTGCCTAAATGCTTGAGAAAAGTCTGTCAAAAAGGTTGCTAATTTATTTATAGCTGAAATAAACAGCTTTTCTTCACCTTACAGGAAAATATTATGCATTGACACTATATGAAATGCAGTCTCACTCTACCTCTCTCAAATATAGAACTTTATCCATAATCGCTTGGAGCTTCTTTGTTTTTAATTGCTGATGTTCTGATTGCTTCTTTTCTTTTCTGGGAAAATGCAGGTTAGCTACAATATTATGATGAAGGTATATGCTAGGGCAGGACTCTTTAGTGAAGTTGAGAAACTTTTCCAAGCCATGCTCATAGATGGTTGCTCCCCCAATTCCGTAACTTACCTTTACCATGTTCAAGCTTATGCACTGAGTTTGAAATATGAAGAAGCGGAGAAAACCATAATTTCCATGCAGAAAAAGGGCATTCCTGTTTACTGTGCTCATTTCAACATTTTGCTCTCTGCTTTTGCAGAAGCAGGAATGATGGCAGAAGCAGAAAGGGTTTATAACAAACTGTTGAGAGATGCTTTAAGTCCTGACCTTGCATGTATTCGTAGCATGCTGAGAGGTTACATGAATTGTGGATGTATTGAAGACGGAATCTCCTTTTATGAGCAGATAAAGGAATTTGCTGAACTGGATAGGTTTATAATGAGTGTAGCTGTGCACTTTTATAGGACTGTAGGAAAAGAGCCTGAGGCTGCAGGTCTTTTAAAATTCATGAATTCTTCAGGGATCCAATTTTTGAAGAACCTTGAGATTGGACCTAAGGTAAAAGCCTCCTAGTCTAAATAAAACTAGTTAACTTGGTTATTTCATCACCTGGAAAGAATAGCAGGTTGCCAAGACATTAAATATGGTTTATTACTATAGAAGCCTGAGATGCAAACTGCCTCGCAGTTGGGGCCATTGCAGTCATAGCCATCCAAGTTGCATAAAAGCAGCTCTGTGGTCTGAAGATTCAGACGAATTGAAGGAATGACATGAAAGAGAATTAAGGAATGCTCCTTCAGTGGTCGAGGAAAAAACTGTTTAGCATATGATAACTCCAGAAAGTGGCATGAGATATTTGAGGCTTGGAGCATTTAGCAATTGAGATTTTCTTGTCACATGAAGTGAACTTGGTGTCATCTGCAACTGTCGGATGGGTTAGGGAAATATTGTAGTAGATTTTAACTGGAGCCTTATTTGCTTTGGACTAATGCAAACTACTCTTTGGACAAACTTGTGGTTTGGGCTACTTCAGGTTCTTGGGAGCTAAAGGTGCAGAAGTCAAGTAGGGGAATGTAAATGGTGGAAATGATTTTGGTGGAGTGGAGGAGAACCGTTCTGTTTAAGTTGTAATGCGAGCTCCATATTATCCAAGTTTATGCGAATACACAATAACATAACTTGTTTTATTTATAATTATTGTTCTATCATAGGACAAGAATGCAGAACTATTGGACTATAATTGAGATTTCCATAATATGAAAGCATGACTATTAGAAGCACACAAAAAGTGACTTGATTGACTTCTTTTAGCTAAAAGAATCTCCAAATATCTGCTACTCTTGAGAACCAATCTTCATCTCTATTATGCAAATGTCTCCACTTGCTTCTTTGAATTCTTTCCACTCATAATAAGTTTAGGTCTTGAGAAGGTTCGAAGCAACTAAATTTTTCCACGGCGTATGACACCAAAAGATAGTTGCCGAATAAATGTCAATTCAACAACTAAAGTTCTTTTATATATGTAAGAAACTATTGCTATTACTGCTATTATTTATATGTATATGAATTGGTTATTTAATAATTGTAAATCATTCCGAAGCTTTCTAGCCCAGAAAAAAAAAAAATGACTAACCCACCATATAATCCAATTTGGATTCACGAAAAACAAATCTATCAACGAGTTAAAAAATCTTCATAGTTTTTAGGACTAAAAAGTTAAAGTCATCTTCATAGATTCAAATTCGCGAAAAACAAATTTATTAAAGAGTTGAAGAATTTCTATACTCTGCTGTAAATAGTTAAAAAATTGAATTCCTCTCTAGGAATTTAAATTTTCTTTACAAATATCCTTTAAAGATATCTCTAAAAAAAAGTTATAAGGATTCAACTATTTATTCAACTAATCACTCTTAACTAAAAATCAACATTATTCGATATCAAACGATTTAGTCAACGCATCAAAACTCAGTCAAAGAGATCAAATTAAAATTTATTTTTTATTTTTTATTAAAATATATTAATTGATTATTTTGTATATTTATTTTAGAAACCAAATTTATTGTTACAACCTCCAAAAATAATGGTAAAATGTAACATAACTCGATTTATTTTTTCATATATTTTTTAAATACATATTTATTGGTATAAATCTCAACCATGTTCTAATAATTTACTCTAAAAACACAATTCTATAAACACTTGTAAGGCCCAGCCCACCAAATTGTCCAACGTCTCAAAAACCATCGCCTCTTGATCGTCTCCAACGTTCGTAGTCTCTCCCTCCCTCTGCAAGAGATCAGGAATGGCGTCGAGTCTCTTCAGAACCCTAATCAGGTCATCAAAATTGCCGTCGACTACTAGAAACCTCTGCCTTGTCCGCACTCAAATCATCAGCAATCACACTGCTAAATGGATGCAGGTATGACATAGTATGTCGCCTATGTATTTATTTTCCATACGTGTTCTTAGCACGGTTATTTCTTTCTTTAATTTTTTAGTTCTATATCCAAAGGAAGGATCAGAACTAGATAAATTCTTAGGATCTTGAGGTATATATTTAAAATTTGGAAATCAGTACCAGAGCTATTTTAGGTAGGAGATTTTTCATCCAGCTGGAGTATTAGTTTCTGGATGTGCTCTTTGGTTAGGAAAAAGTTGAAATGTTTAGGGTTTAAATTATAAGTTAACACGAGTATTCTTTTCCTGGCTTTAATTCTTGGGAAGTTTTATAAGTTCTTTCTTGGTTGCTGTAAATAAAGTTCAGGCAAGCCAAATCCTTTTGCTGGTATTAATTAATTCATCTATTTATGAAAACTCAGAGTACACAGCCTTTTTCTTTTCCACATTTCCTTGCTATTTTTATTGCGAGTTTTTGAAACCTGTTATAATTGATGCCTAGAGTTCAAATGTACATTCCCCTATATTTTTGTAGAGTAATGGACAATCTGCAATTTTTAATGTCATTTATATTTTCTGAATCAAGTTCAGTTTAAGTTAAAAAATCAGATTCCGCTGGTTGTTCAAAATGCTGAGGGTGAATCCATTTATAAACAATCTATTTGCAGTGGCATTGAATTGGGGAAGACATGTTAATAAATAAAGATTTACAATGGGCCACTAGGGAATTACTTCTTTAATGATAGATGAGTAAATATTCACAACGCGTTTTTGTCTCCAATAGAGAAAAAGATGACGATGCTCGAAAAATGATACCCATTCAATTGTGGTTTATATGTAGAGAAATAATGGTGAACAGATGCTTCCTTTGCAAGTGCACCGCCGAGAATTGCAATCACATTTTGCTATGGTGCCCCTATTCCTACAACCTTTGGACACTTATTTACAGCTTTATGGGGATCAATTGGGTAATGGCGAGTTTGGTGAACAACGAATTATTGGCTTGAGAAGGCTTCGCTTTTAACAACAAGGTTGTACGTCTTATCTCTTTGTCCATTTTTGGGCTATTTAGAAGGAAAGGAACAATAGGCCTTTTGAAGGAAGGGAATAAACTTTTGTAAATATCAAATATCAAACATATCATGGGATTGAAAAAAGAATTTGATTTGGTTGGACTATCTAGAAAAAGGCATTACGGTAAGCCTTGGTAGTGGAATCCTAAAGGTTACTAAGAGTGTCATGGCTGTGATGAAAGGGAAGCGAATAAAAATAATTTGCTCAAGTCAATTAGGAGTATGGTTATAGACGACGCTTTTCTACGGTTTCATCAGAATTTGACATAGATGACTGTATATCCCAGCATATGCTTTTGGGGCATACCAAAGGAAGCTACTGAAGGGGTTTAAACAGTCCAAGGTTGACTTATGCGAGCATGGCATCCTTGGTAAATAGGAAAGGATGAGCTTCAATCTTTCTCACACAAAAGTACGGATGTGTTAGAATGCATACATACAGATGCATATGATCTGGCTAAGATACTAGCAAAAGGTGGAGCCAGATACTTTGTAAGTATCATTATTTATTTTTCTAGAAAGGTTGGATTTACTTCATGTTGAAAAAATTAGAAGTATTCTCAAGGTTTAAACAATGGAAAGCCGAGCTTGAATGAGGTTGAATGATAAACAAGACAATAGGCTTTTATGTCAAGTCCAACAATGTTGGTGAGTACAAAAGTCAAGAGTTTGAGGACTTCTGCAGGGAAGAAGGGTTTATCAGTGGTCTGGGTCTATAAATGGCAATGTTTTAACATCAAGGTCGCTAAAACGGTTCAGTGTTGCTATTCCCATTGGTTGATTGTGACTTTTCTAAATTATCACACTCCACTTGCACCATGTGATCATGTAAATCGGAGGGAACATCTTCATGACATGAATTTTTCTTTAGCATTGTGCTCTCATCAAAAACTACATCTCTGCCAATGATTGTACTCTGTACATTTGGATCCTGTGATCTTTAACCCTTAACTCCTTTCTGGAAACCAAGAAAAGTATACTTTACATTACCTTGGCATCCAACTTAGTGCATGTTAGGTGCAAGTCAATATATAGAAAGAAAGAGAGAGTGTTAGGGGGAAGAAACGTCACAGTTTCAAACAAGATTAGTTGCAAACAAGATTATCAAAGACACGGATAGACTAATGTGGAATTTTAGAGACAAACTGAATTGAGTTGTATATTGAAGTCTATACATGTTGATATATAACTGTTAGAGATTGACTACAAAGAGAAAGAATCAGAAGCATATTACAAGAAACCAAATCAAATCAAATCCTTATATCAGGGAATCCCCAATTTCTGGGCAGGTTAGATAAGCTTCAAAAAATTGGCTGCCAAAGGTTAAATTTTTCAACATTCCCTGTCAAGTTGATAAATATGCATCTTTCATTCACAGCTTGCAGATAAGTTCTTAAGATGTCACTCAACTGAGTCCTTTCATTTTGATAGCACATTTGCAAAGTTGTATATTAGTTGAGACATACAATGTACAAGTTATCCAACGTCACTTTATGAAGTGTCTATCTATTTCAATGTGGTTTTTTCCTCTCATGCTGCACAGGATTATGAGCAATGTCAATGGGAAACTTCTGCTCACAAACTATCTAAAATTATTGAGTCATAATAATTCACGTATTTCTTGTACCATCACCCTAAACTCTACCTTTGCACTTGATCTAGCGATCACGTTTTGCTCCTTACTCTTCCAGTTTACAAGATTCCTCCAAGAAAAATTCACAGATCGCCTCTCTAATGGGTTCGGATATTTTGTATGTGTATATCTAAAGGGCTAATCAAGTGTTCCTTTTGAATAAAACTCCTTTAATAGATTGGACTCAGGTAATAAAGTATCTTGTAGACTATATGAAGGTGAACCTCTTTCAGGCAGTGCATGAATTAGCTAACCATGTTCACGGCATGCAATGTTTGGCCTTACATGGACATGATATATATTTTTCCTACCAATCTCTAATACATTTCTATTTCTACAACTAGATCTTCATTTATCTCTTCTAGTTTGTGATTTTGCTCAATCAGTGTGAAATAAAGTTTACATGCTAACTTTCCTCTCTCCCTTGTGAGATAAGTCACATATTTCTGTTGTGAAATAAAGATTTCTTCTCTGGAATGAAACTTTTATTCCTAGAAGGTACTTTAGTCTCCCATGTTTTTTAATCTCGAATCCTTCGATTAGAAAATCTTATCTAGACTTTCCTCTTTCTCATCATTTTCTATCACAATTATGTCATCAATGTACATCAAATGTGTTGTTACTCCTTTTAAATCCAAGTGCTTTAATAAAAGTGTCTGATCTCCCTGACCCTGTCTGTACCCAATGGCACTATTTTAGCAAATCTCGAAATGAAGTCTTTGGTGATTGCTTTAGATCATACAATGTTTTCTTCAATCTACAAACTTTATTGTCTCTTAGTTTTCCCTTATTTAAAAAAAAAATGTCTCTTAGTTTTCCCTTGAAGCCCGGGAAAATATCCATGAAGATCTCTTCCTCCAAGCTGTAGGTTTGTGCATGTTACCTTGCCACGAGCCTGGCCTTATATTTCTCTAGGAAACCATCTAATGTGCACTTACTTGTACTAGAACTGTCAAATTGAGTGGTGGGCAACCTGGACTACAACATTCCTCCCTCTCTTCCTGCAAAGGACCTCCTTACCTCTTCCTCCTCTACCTGTCTATAATCAGATCCGCTCTCTCTTTCCATCCCGTGCTAAGATAATTTTT